CAAGCCTGAGAAAAAGTTATTTCCAACCTAGAATGATTGGTTAAGTGATCAATCAAGTGAAGGAGAGAATAAAGATGTTTTCAGAAATGAAAGGAGGCAAAATATTTACTCCCCATGGAATCTCGGGGAGGCTATGCTCTACCAAATCGAGGCATTGATGAAGAAAAATGAAAGCACGAGATTCAGAAAATATCTCCACACAGAAAAGAGGCACAGAGAATCCTCAGAACAATGGGGAAGGAGATCTGAGGTCAGCCAACATGTGAAAAGGACATTCACCCTTAAATCGAAAGTGTGGGGATAAAATGAGATCGCCTGACAACTAAACAAATGAAAAAAAGAAACAATTGCTAACTCTGAGGAAGTCAAAGTTCTATATGAAAAGAAGTAAGATAGTACTCTACATGGCTCACCTGTGGATCATTTTTACATATTATAAATACTGGATACTGACTTAACCAAAAATCCTGATAGCTCTGTTAGCAGGTTGGGGATAAATGAAACGGGTAGGAAAAAAAGGGAGATAAACAAAAAAGCGAATCCTCTTCATTGTGGGTAGCAAATTTTAAACCTTATCATAAACATGGACAGAATGAATGCAACAGCTAAAATAATCAGAAATTGTTACTAACAGGAACTCCGAATCAAGAGTGAGAAAGTGTTACCGACTGAAGGGGTCTATTTGTGTGTGTCAAAGCCCAATGAGACACGCACAGGAGTTAGCAGCTAAGAAAGTAAGGATTTGCTCAGGAGATGGCGCTATGCCTGGAGTCTCAGATAGCTCATGCTCAAAGACTTGGCTCTGTGATGGTCTCAAGGGGATGGATCATACAGGGAAAAAGTCATTCATCATGGTGACTAATGGAGCTAGGGTCATGGTCTCTACTGACTGGTTGGTGCTAGGTGTATGGGGTAACTGATTATTGCATCTGGTCCTAATGTCAGTCATGGAGTTGTTCTGTCCAATTTCACAAGGATTTGTTCTGTGGGATGGTTCTGCTTTCCTGGGTCCAAAGGTAAAATATAACCGAGTCCAAGATATTACGTTTAACTGTCTCAGTAGTAAATAGACCCAGGACCTTGTTCCTAAGACCTACTGGATGCTGACCAGAACCTCAATGTCCCAAGGGCTTAATGATTAAGCAAGGGAGAGGGACATGGGTGAGTCAGGGTGCTAGGTGAGGCCAATTTGAAGGAAAAAATAAAAATAAAATGCTAGATTGAAGAAAATAAGGTTTCTGCGCAGTTACAAAGTGAGTGGGCAGATTTTTAAAACTACAAGCCTGCTAGATGATTTTATTTGTTCAATCATGTATCTTTATAACTTATACAGAAGGGAGGGAGGGAGGAAGGGAGGGAGGGAGGAAACCTCAAAATAGAGAGAGAAACTACACAGCCAAGAAAAGTAACAGGAAAGTTGTAAAGCAATGTCGACTTCTCTTCACATTGTGATGACATGTCTTGTTAAACAGAGTTTGAATCTATGTATTAAAAGATCCCAAATTAAATATTTGGTCCATGTAGTGAAATGCATGATTTCTGCTCTTTCCTGTAAACTTGTCAGTACTTCATTGATGTTATATAGCATAAAGCAAATATCTAGCTGAAATACGGCTGGTAAATATGCCACCTTTGCCGGTAAGCTAAGCTGCAGACACCGACCTCTTTTCAACATGAACATAAAGAGGAGAGAATCGAGTGAATGGGCTTTGCCATAGAAATGGATCAACACAGGGATAAGCACAGGGCAGGGAGCGGGAGAGAGGACAGCCTCCGCTCAGCCCTGTTTCTTCATCAATAGATTTGGGAGGTTGTCAGATGTTCTCAAGTTCCTTTTTAGCATTACACTTCAAGTCAGACCTTCACACACCTCCCCATCCGCTTCTATTTCCTGAATTAATCTTGACACAGATGACCATATACTTTAGTTTTTCTAGGACGGTCTTAGTTTATATCTTTTTGCTCCTCTTGTATTATTATTATTAACCTCCTTTTGCCACTCCTGTATACTTCATAACTTGAATTTTCTTTTTTTTTTTTTTTTTTTTTTATCCTCACCTGAGGATATTTTTCCATTTTTTGTACAGATAGAGTGGGAGGTAGAGAAAAGAAGGGAGAGACAGACAGAAACATCGACGTGAAGGGACACATCGAGTGGCTGCCACCCGCACAACCAACCAGGGCCGGGGACAAACTGCAACTGAAGTACGTGCCCTTAGCAGGAACCGAACCCGGGTCTCTCCGGACCGCAAGCCGACTCTCTAACCGCTGAGCCAAACTGGCCAGGGCCATAACTTGAATTTTCTTAAAAATTTGGAGAAATTTATGATTCTTTTGTGGGTTGTTTGTGAACAACGAAGAATTTTTTAGAAACAGAGTGAGAGTGATAATGTAAACTTTCCTTTTTAAAACATTATTCAGTGAGCATATGTTCTGTTCAAACTATTTTCTAATAATCTTAGAACACTGGGTACTTTTAAAAATTTAGGACAGATATTGCGGATTAATTTAATATTCTAGACATGATAAATTTTAATTATTAAAAGTCACAGAACAAGGTCTTCCTTCTGACTTTACTATCAGTTATGGCAATGATCTCAAGAGAATACTATCTCAGCAGAAATAGGTCTCATCCATCATCATGGCTGTTTATTACTTAATCAGTTACCAAAAGGGGAATATGTCCCTTCCACCGCACAGACAAGCTCTGTATGCTAATGATTCCCAACTTTTCCTGAAGGCTGGGACTGAAAGTCCTGCCAGTTCCCTGAACAACAGCTCACATATTATCCCATGAACTTGAAACACTCCTTTCAGAGTGAGCAGCACTGAAACAGACTCCATAATTGATCACTCAGTTACAAGGGAGATTTAAATTGCTTGGTTCTCTGGAAGCTACAAAGAGCTCCTTAGTTTCAATCAAATATGCCGGAGCTCTGATATAAAACATGTCTCCATATGAAGAGCAGTGATCTGTTTCAGCATTAGTTTTTTACTCAAACACTTAAGTCACTGCCTGTGAAATTTTTTAAAGTGAAATAGATACAAAGTTCATTAGAAGGAAAAAGAGCCTACTAAATGAACTTTATTTTAAAGATACATGATTACCACATTTTTAACAATTACTTTGAAACTAATTTATCATTTGCCCCTGAACTAATGAAAACAAAAGGGCTGGATTTGGGCATTCGCTGGCACTTTTCATCTCTATTGGAAAGTAGGCCCCGAGTGTTTGGATCTGAGATCAGATTTGCTTGGTAGCCTCAAAGGGCAATTTCCCCTTTAAAAAAAATTTGCTTTTGATCATTTCAGACAATTCATCCCTTTTGAATGAGAAAGAGTAGAGAGAGGAATGTCCAATGGGGTTAAGTAAACGGAGAATCTGTCACATAAAGCAAGTTTAAATCCCAGTAATAGCATCCATGCAGGACAAACGGAAGCATTCATCTTTTGAAAACATTATTCTTTTAAACAGTGTGTAATGACATCCTCCCTGGAGACCTTTTCCATGAAAGAAAAAAAGAAAAAGAAAAAAAAAGACTTCCCCAGAAGTCATGTTCTAGATTCCAAGAATAATGAGTGAAGCACCATTAAAAGTCAAACTTGTGTTTTATTTATGTAAGAAGATTCAAAATTAGAACTGCAAAATGGTGCTCTTAAAAGAGTTTTTCCACATTCTTGTTTTCTGTTATATACTGGTATTTCCACAAACAAAAAGAAAAGGAGAAGACATCATATAACTTCAGACATACAAATTAGCGAACATGTCCTGACTGTGAAATTTGAGTCCAACATCTATTCAAGGGAGAAATATCGAAGACTCCACTATGCTGAATGTAAGACAATTTACTTTTCAGTTCCTCTTACGTGTATCATTTTCTTATGCTGAAGTATAAACTGTGGGATATGTTTCAGTACTCTGTGCTGCTATTAACTTCCTGAGGACTTGGCTGCTAGTAAATAAGAAAATTTTATGTTTTTAAAAGTATGGCATTACTCAACTATCAGAAGTTGGCTTTTGTTTCAAATGTTTAAACAACAAAAAGGTAAATAAGAAGAGAAATTACTTCTTTCAATTCTAACACTACTTTATAAGTTTAATTAATGCATACCCAGATAAATATTTCTCTTCAAAGATTTCGAAATTGCTGCATGCATGTTAAATGTAATGGGGAAAAGAAGAAGACACAATTGAAAAATCACAATTATTAAGTTTATTTAACAAAATAAATTTAAAGAAAATTTTCTATTAAAAAACATAAGAATCATATCCAAATTTTAGCTCCCCATCTTCTTTGGTATTGAAATCAACCTTCAGGATATAAAATATTTTATTTTGAAGTTTAGTCATTGGGTCTACAACAATTTTCCATACAAAGAAAATAGAAAATCAAGTTATCTGTAATTGTTAATTTGTTGAATAACCAATGGATGCATAAAAGCAATCTGTTATGTGTGTACAGAGACTGACATCATAAAAAAAATAGTCATTCATAGATACATGTATTCTACTGGAAATATATTTTAAGTTTTTAATGATTTTTCTGCCATCATTTTATCTTGTTATCTGAACAGTATCCAATACACAGGTGCTGTTACTCACTTAGCTAACCAACTACTCCCAGGAAGTTGACAACATGATAGCAGGACTTAGCAACATTGATTTATTTAAACATGGCTACACCATTGAAAAAAGTCTTTATTTCTCAGAATTGTGTGCTGCAGTCTTTTTATAAAATAGTATCTGACCCTGGTCAGTCTGACTCAGCAGTTAGAACGTCAGCCCACAGACTAAAGGGTCATGGGTTCGATTCCTGGTCAAGGGCATGTGGTTGCAGGTTCAATCCCAGCCCTGGTAGGGGTCGTGCGGGAGGCAGCCAATCAATGTGTCTCTCTCCAGTTGATCTTTCTCTCTCTCTCTCCTTCCCTCCCTTCCATTCTATCTAGAATCAATGGAAAAATAATCTCAGGTAAGGATTAACAACAACAACAAAACAGTATCTGAAGATTGCTAATAGCATTAAATTAATATTAATAAAATCCTATTCTAAGTCTTTTTTGTTTCTTAAATATTACTTGCAACCAGTCTTCTTGTTTCTTCTAAGAGTGTAGTATTATATGGACTGCTAAATTAGTCAAGCCAAACACTTCCAGGAACATCATGTGACAACCAAACTACTTTTATCCCTTTGACACATTCTTTGCCTGTTCCAATTCTGATTTCTCCATGTCCTTGCCTTCTTGTATGAAGAGATACCCCCCTTAATTTGTTAAAATGAATCTGAGAAAAAATCCAATAACAAACAAGGGCAATTTTTTTTTTTTTAACATAGACTTGTGATCATAAGTGATCAAGCGATTGATAGCTTCAGTGCTAACACTGTGACTGGGAACAAGAAGAGTACAGCCATAATAAAATACAGCTATCTACTAGAAGGACTGCATAAAGACATCTTTGGCCATGTAGGCTCTGGGCCCTCTGGAAGTAAGTCAGTTGCATTGCCAACATGACGAAGAAAATAGCAATGTTCAGAATCAGGAACAGTCTGGTGTAAGAGGCCGACAGGGACGGGGCTTTGCTGTGGGTAGTCACCATCCGCGCCTGCCCAAACCGGCCTTTCATCAGGCCATTGTTTTTGTGTTTCTCATATGTTACATCTGCAAAATCTAAAAGGTCTTTCATTTCTTCATCTTCATCTATGGGCTGTTCTTTCTGTGCCAAAATCTGAGCTTTCTGCCGAATCTTTTTTTCATTGACTTCGATCTGTGCAAAAATATCAGGGACGGCATCCACAAATTTATAGCGCTTGCCTACCCTTCGGTTTTTCTTTGACTTGCTTTGTTGCTGCTGCTGTTGCTGGGATATGGCAAAAATCCTGTCGATGGCCTCCTCAGTCTGTCTCTTGTCTGAAAATCTCAGCAGGCGCTCGGCAGTCTTCCTGAAGCTAGCTGTGTTCCGGACCCGGGACAGGATCTGCTTCTCCAGCAGCTGGAACACTGGCTTGAAATGCTGCAGGTTCCGTTCCACAATAGCAGCATAGTCCTTCACCTCAGGGACAGTGGCGCTCTTGATGACTGAACTCCGGTCAAACAGAATTTTCTGACGATCTGCAATGACCTGTGCAAAGGCAGACTGTCCCATGGTCTCACCTGTCCAAAGGTAAACGGCATAGGCGTGTTCTCTGGTGGCTATGAACACATCCAGTTGCTGAGGGTCTCCGTGGATGCTGAAGCTCTGAACATCCACGGATGGCCCTATGAAGAGGTAAGCTGCCCTGGAGATGGGACTTCGGAGGTGCATGGTGACATTCACATAGTTTGTCCCATTGTAGGGATAGCCCCGAGGGTATGTCACTGAAGCAAAAGTTGCTTTCTCACTGTAGCCAGTATCATCCATCCAGTACATTTTATAGAGACCATCTCTCTGCCTGATGAAAGCCCCATGGACCCCGTCTACCACTGTCTCCTCGAAAGGGAAGTCCACATTGTGGAAGAAGCTCGTGGCCGTCTCCACGAGGCTCTCCTCTCCCAGATGTACTTCATCCACAAGGAGGAGAAGCTGTGGATGTAGGAGGATCAGATTCCTCTGGACGTTCTTCAGATTGAGCTGGGGGTTATAAGCTCCCACACCTTCTCCTCGGATGAAAAGCACCCCATTTTTCTCCACAGCTGCAACCACTCTCCCTTGACAGCTAGCTGCTAGGTCATGCTTATATTTAGACCATTTTGATGAGCAGTCTTCTGTGACCTGACCCTCCCAGGGAGAAAAGCAACTCTTCGACACAGCTGGGGAAAACATCAAGACGTTGTTGAAAAAGGTATACTTTGGCCCATAGAGAGCCTCAGTAATGAAAGGCACACCATTGGGAGCAAAAGTAAATGAGTTTTGGTCAGGATGTTCATGCCCGGCATTAAAATTTCTCCATCCTTTGATCCAATCTTTGTATTTGTTTCTGTGGACAATGTCATATATTGCACGTCCCCCAAGTTTTCCTGACTTGAAGGAAAGAAAAGATCTATTGATTTCCACAGGCAGTGCACTTCCGTAAGTCACCACACCCCAGTCTTCAAAATAATGCAATGTAGGGGTGCCAAAATCTGGAGGAGGAACAGATTTCAAGCTGGCATCATACCTGAAAGAATGAATTTTTAAAAATTAACTGGTTTTCTGGTGGAAGTGAAAATAACACATCAGAACCCACAAATGCTGCCCAGAGCACTCGCAGTGTAGACTGTAGCAGGGACATTTCTGAAAATACCAATGGATGACAAGATTGCGCAGGGGACTAACACCCTTGGTGATAGGGAGCGGAGAATGTCTTTACAACATGCGATCCCTGGATTTGAGCCTGAAATGATTACTGCTGCTAATAACCTTCTGCACTTAACGTCAGAGCTACTGTCCAAATGACTGAGGCTCATAGATCATAGCATTAAGGCTTCATCCAAGCCTCTCGTTGGGAGCTCTGTGTTAGGATCTAGAATCTAACAAGCCTTGAGTTGCAATGAAATACTGTTCTGCAATAAATGGTACTATTAAAGTTTGACAGAGTAGTTTTTACCCTCCAAAAATTAATTTAGAGTTGAACTTCACATATTAGATATAATTTATAGTGAATACCACATCTGTGAATATAAGTGGATGAAATTCAGGAAAATAATAAGACCGGAGGATTTCTAACTGTGGCTACCACTGCCTACCCCAGATTTAAAGGTTTCGTTTTAATCTGCAGATGAGGTCATGCATTTTGGACAATAAATGGTCTCTTATTTTTATTTAGGGTAAATGTTTATTATCAAAGTAATAAAAAAATTAACATTAAACTTCCAAGTGATTAAGAACATAGGTTTTGGATTCAGAAAGGCCACAAAAATAATAATAAACACAATGTTTGCTTTTGATGATTTGAAATAACAGTCTGACAGGTTTATATAATTTCCTGCTCAAGGGAAGAAAGGCAGACCTGTATTCTTAGCTCGTAGACACTTTTTTCCTAAAGTGAATCAATCATTATGGTAAAGTTCATCTCACTGGTGTTTGAGTGTGGCTGTTTCATCTGTTGTTCTAGATAGAGTCTCAGTTACAAAACCTCAGAAAATGTGTCTCTACTTAGGTCTAGTATAATAATATTGGCTTCATTTTGTGATTTAACAAATCAAGATACAAGCTGAATTTTCCATCTTTCTCTCAGTTTTTGGTCAGTCTACAAACTCCTATAAGGTAGATTTTAAACCAACTTAGACTAAGCATTAACCTGACTCCTGTAGTCAGCTTTACAGAACTCTCTGGATTACTTATGGGCAAATGAAAACGCAATTAGATAACAACTTGATACCCCTTAAAGGAGTCAAGAATGGCTGCATATTAATATATTTAGTTCATCCCTGGCTGGTTTTCTCAGTGGTTAGAGCATCAGCCCGTAGACCAAAGGGTCTCGGGTTCGATTCCCACTTAAGGGCACATACCTGGGTTGCAGGTTCAATCCCTGGCCCTGATTGGGGTCATGTGGGAGGCAGCCAATTGATGTGTCTCTCTCACATTGATATCTCTTGTTGTCTCCCCCCCCCCCCCCCTTATTTCCACTCTAAGAAATAATGGAAAAATATCCTCAGGTAAGGAATAACAAAAAACACTTACCCGTGAATATAGTTTTAAAAAATGATGGTTAAACTATCGACAGTTATTTCTTTTCTACTGTTATTTTCCTCTTATTTGTTTATATTAAATATAATAATAAAGAGAAACAATCAAACTACAGAATCTTATTTTGAAGTTGAATGCAAATGACAAAAGCGAAAAGACATCAGGGATTAATTATTAACCTGTTCCCTGTAATTTTTATTTTAATTTATTGGATGCCAACAATACATTTGGCAATACTTTAAAAAGGAGACACTGGTTCTCTTTCTGGGCTTAAAAGATTAAGGCAAAAAAAAAAAATTACATGGTTCTTTTATTATCAAAGAGAAACTGTCAAATACTGTCAGTTTTGAAAATTTGGCAACAGCTTTGCTGTTAGAAGATTATAATGTTCCATTTACCAAAACAAAACAAAATATTTTACCACCATTTTTTTTGGTATGGTTATCAGAATAACCCAGTCCAAAGTTTATGGTTTTCTCTTTTTATATAATTTCAAAAATGATGTAAGTTAGAAATGCATATCTATGAAACTGTGTGAGCCCAGGACATCTCTAATACAAGAAAACCCAAAACTGCAAACAGTGGTTAGATTTAAATGTAAGGGCATGTTTCTAAAAGAGTTCAAACACTGTGATGTGAACTGAAGTTGCAAGTACTCTAGGTGGCATAAAGTGCTTTAGATCGGGTGTTTTTTAAGGCAAAAAACTAGCACGCTGGGTACAATCTCTTTTCAAAGCCAGCGCGACGTGTCATACCAGAGAAATTCCGTGTGAAGAGTGCACCAGCGCTGGCCTTTGGATGGGGTCCCTGGGCCTTCCACCACGCGGTTCTTTCTGATTTGGTCAGCGAGCCAGTTACCACTGCCGTTCCGCATGACAAACTTATCCAGGAACACTAACTGGCTTTCTGGACCATAAAACCAGTTGTAATTTGAGTCTGCAATGGCCACAGTTCTTTGAAACCCTGGGGAAAGAAGTTCAACAGAACTAAGGTGAGTTTAAAACTTCATACTCCCATGAAGGTCTAATCAATGATTTTTCAATCTTGCCTGCAAATTAGAATCAATTGTGTATCTTAGATAAAAATGACAAACAAAACCACAATGCCCACACTCCACCCCAGATCAATTCGTCAGAATCCCTCTGAAGGTCTTCCACAAATCTTGTGTGCAAGTCTGTATGTGTTATATGGTAACTTGTCATTGGTGGTGACAATGCCATGACGACTCATGACATACACTGCCCACTTTCCTCGTTTTCCAGGGCCCATGCTACGTGCGGTTATATTTGCATGGACACGCACACTATGCCCTTGTGCATGGTGAGTTCCTGAACCTCAAATGAAGACTCGCTCCCCTACCAACTCATCCCACATCCTACACCAAAATAATAACATAAATGTCTCAATCTGGCCTCCAATAAAGTGGGGAGAAACGGAGTTTCGACAGGAAGAAAACTTTACAATTCCCACAGAAGATCATGCCAGTATGCATTGCTGAAAGTTAAAAAAAAAAGAGAGAGAGAAAAAAGTGCAAAGATTATACTGAAATAGGCCAGAAAAATAAAAGCAGGGAAGACAGGATATGCTCCAGACATTCTTGAAAAAGGAGAATGGGCAAAAACTCTGGGTCAGATAGCACTAATCACTACTAGAATTGCCACAGTAGAGAAAAATAGAGAAATGTTGAAAACAGACTGACTTAACGCAGAATCCCTTCTGAATGTTACCATGACTATATTTCCATCATGTACAGCTAATGTTTTTGCTTCTAGCAATCTAGTAAATCTCTTCTAAATAAATCTTATTATAAAATGTGATTTTCTGAATCTTCTACTAATTTGTGAGCACCCTGAAAGCAGGTGTTGTGTTTTATTCCTCTCTGAATCCCCTGTCCAGCATATAGGTGTTCAAGAAAGGTTTACTGACTCAATCATCACAAATACTTGAATCCTCTTCTGAGAGGTGTTCATAGGTGTTTCTAGCTTAAGAAGTAGCCACATACACAGCTCACAGCAGACCCCAGCCCTGCTGTGTTTGGCTGTTAGATCTCAGCTCAAATTACAAAACACTGAGACCACTGAAGGTCCCTTACTATAGATGGCCTTTGACTATCAACATAAATGACAAAACAGGTCTCTCCGGTATGCTTAAGAAGAAGCAATAAAACGAATAGAGTTCTGAATGTAAGAGTAAACTAAATCTTAATATGGCTCTTTTGTTTTGCAGTATATTTTAGAAAACTAATCCAATAATGGAAATTCTATCCAATCCATGTGCATACAACCTCCACAAAATTATTTAAACACTAAATTTTTTTTTTACTGTAATTCTAGAACCATCATCTAAAAACTGCATTTCACTGGAGTGGGGGTGGAGTGGGGAGAGACCCATCTGATGAAAAACTACCTCCTAAATGTTTTCTAACATCCTATTTAGAAACAAGGAGAACAAGGCTCTCCTAGAAATAAATACATTCATAAATCACATACGACTTTTTTTTTGATCCAGTTCTCCTAGGTGACTAAGTTAAACAGCAACAAGAAATGAGTTTTATAGAAATTCATTTTTTGATTATTTTCCTATATTTTGTACTATTTATTTCAATAAAATATTTAAAAGAAAATATGAAAGCACCAACTTAAATACGTAGGTGTAATCTTTCATTTTGAATCATGTCTATACAGTTTGGAAGAAAAAATTACAAACTAAAAACCCAAATAGGATCTATGAGGGATCACACAAAAAGGAAAATTAACAAGTAATCACAAATGCCTATATTCGGTTTAGATTCATGAAAATGAATTTGCATATGTACACAAGTTTTACATATACAAAAATAAAAGTTCTGTGGAGGCTACAAATTACATGTGATCCGTCATGCTCCAAGCTTTACAATACCTAAGTCACAAATCCTCACATTCACTCTTAAGATGTTCTGGCTATATAACTCTTACATTGAATTCTACTTTGATTTTTTTAAAATCCCCTTCATGGTAATATGGCTCAAACCCCACATTTTTCTAGCTCATTTTCATAATCAGAAAAAATTACAATAGCTAACGCTGACCCACTTGTGATTCCTCACAATACCTGGCAGGATGGTTCTATACATAAAGGCAAAGTGTTGCTTAAGCCACGGATGGCCGAAGTGGTTGATGTCAAAGTGCCTCTGAACCAGGAACATATACTGGAAGAGTGACCTAGTGGTGTAGCTGCCGTACGCGACCCCTTCATAGAGGGAGCCGTCCGTCACCTCTCGGAGCAAGACCAGAGACTTCTCCATGATGGTCAGAACTTGTTTGGTCCATAAGTAGGCTTCCTGAAGATACCCTGAAGGATGAAAACAAGTGGAAACAATGACTAAGGCTGTAACAAAACATAAACAAAAATACGGCTAAATAAAACCCTCTGAGTTATCTGACTAGTTTATAGGACAAACTGCATTTCGTAAAACTCTCTGTCTCAACATTATCAGTAACATCCTGCTAGTCCAGGTTTGTGATGGGTACGTGATGGAAGTAAAGAAGTTCTTGAATACAGGTCACTTATTAATCAAATGAAGATAAACCTTTACGAGAGTATCATTTTCCAATCTTTAATAAACCGAAACCATATCACATCTAAGATCACAAATTGCATGTAACTTTATGTTAACAGGAAAAGATCTGTATATTGAGACCTGTCATTCACTTTTTCTAAAAACTACTACTTTGAAATATTTTTGTTGCAGTTTATCACTTTACAAAACTTTCACCATTATTTTATAGGGTTTGCAATAAGTTGCAAATACTATAAAGGCTAAACAGGCAGTCTTCAATCTGTTCTATTAGAAAACACTTTCTCACGGGGTCTTCATGCTTTTAGATTCCTTAGGATCTGAAAAGGAGCACAATGAGGTGAAGGGACCACTGGGGTGGCAACTTAAGGGCAAAAAAAATTCAGCTGGAGTCAAGAATCTGCCAAAAATGAGCTATGTGATTTTGTTCAAGCATTTTTTTCAAATTGTCACATTCCTCAGTCTCACCAACTGAAAATTAAAGGTCTAAAAACTTTCTAAAAATCCTTACAACATAAATGTTAGCTTGCTATAATTCTTGGGAGACTAGCATTTAAGTAACCATAACAAATCCTCACATTTTTATAACATTTGCAATTTACACAGCACTGAACATAATCTTACTTAATCCTTTTAACAACTCAATTATGCATTATTACTCCAAAGTTACAGAAAGGTTGACTTGTTCAAGACCTCTGGCACATGACTGAAAATGAACAGAACTTTGATCTAAGCCCAGGTCTTGAGATTTAAGGTTTGTTTTCTTGTATTTAAAACACACAACCCCTGAGGATAAAATTAAGCTCAATGCCTCCTACTGTGGGTATAATCTTACTGCTGTCGCTCCCCAGACGTGTGTATGACCCTCAGTGCTGAACACTCCATCAGGTCTGCTAGGTGTGCTGGGTGTGGAGGCTTCCAGAGGCCCAGGTACCACAGTGCCCAGCCCAAGTCCAAGGTCCCAGCCCAAGTCCCCACTCTCATCTCATGTGGAAACACCGTTCTCAGCTCGGCTGGGCAGAGGTGACTGTTCATTGTACCCTGGATCTGCCTCCCACCCAGCTGCACACCTGACATGCCAGTCTTCTGGATACTTTTCAATTTCCATCCTCTAACTGTTAGGGTTTAAAATGCCAGTCATCTTCCTCTTTCCCCTCTCTGTATCCTCCATCTGCAGCCAGTCACCAAGGTGACTGAAGCCTAAAATCAGGCCTGTGACTCACTGCTCTCTGGATATCACACTATCGGATTTGCCTTGTTTTTTCCTTAGAGCAACCCTGTTCAGAAGATATGAGGCAATGTCCATCAACACACTTTGCAAACTTCAAATCTGTCACATGACGTACAGTGTTGTTAATGATGCTATGTTTCCACCATCCACATACCTTAGAATGTTCTTCATTATTTTCACTTACTACACCCTACCCATCCTTCAATGTTCCATGTACCTTCTCAAACTCACTTAAAGAACATTGTTCTTTTGAATTCAAACTTAAGATACTTAAGATATGTAACCATAACTTCATGAAATCTCTTATTTCATTTCCTGGTGCTATTATAACTATTGGGTAATCATTGAAACATTTCACATCTCTCTTCTTTAAAGTTGATTTGTAAACTGCTTACAAGTGATCCTGTGGTCTCTATGCACGAAGCCTTAGGCAGGGTTAGCAGAGCAGACAGAAAATTCGAATCCTCCTGAGATTCTATGAGTGTAGTGGAACTACAGATGTGCTCTAAGCTATCTCAGTCAGCACCTACAGGCGGGTCTGGAGAGCGTGGAACACTGAGAAGGCCTGGCCAGAACAGCTCCTGAAGTTAGAGCGAGTACACCAAGAAAATGAGGACTACAAGCCTGAGAGGTGCAGACCCCAAGATTTCACCCCTTTCTCTACCCAGTCATCTTACAAATGTGTGCACTCCCTGTAGGGGCTCTGGAAGACTATATCCCAGAGCAACCTGGAACCGTAATCAGAAAACAAGTGCATATGAAAACTCCTGCCGGAGGAGAAGTACACATTTTGCTCCAATCTGAACCAGTCACAGAACTTGGGATTAGATTTTGTTTTTGTGTGAAGAGAGGGCAAAGAAAGTTAGGATAAAAATTCACCCTCTTAATTAAGCTTTTCTTACTGCTACAAATTAAATTTTTATTCCCAGAGAGGCAACATAATACAGTGACAAGAGATTGAACTTTGAGTTTGACCAGAAGTGGGTCCAAATCCCAGCTACCTTATATGGTTGATGTCAAAATTAGAAGAAATATGAACAAGAATCGGCACATGTCATATGCTCATCTGACGTTAGTTAATTTTCCTCTTAGACCTAATTAAAAGTGATGGTTGGCTGATGTGACAAGGGAGAAAGCCAGACTTGAGAAAATCTGAGGCTGGATAATCTACAAAATGCTTATTTATTTTTATGAGGAATATAATCAAGAATTAAATTATTTTAGATTTGCCAGCTCTAAGTATATATTTAATATCTTTGTAATTCACTGAGAGCTGTTATTCTTAAATACAATCTTATTTAGTCATTTATAGACTTCCACAGGAGTTGTAATTAAGTCAGAATTATAAGAACAGAGAAAATGTAATATTAGCAATTACATTTACATTAAGGCAAAGTAGATATACAATCCACAAAAGTCACTTCCAAATTTGACCTAAATGATCTAGATTGGTTGTTTGAAGTCTTTAGAGAATAAGAGTACAGATGTAATGATATACATCCGTGCAGGAAACATTTGTTTCAAATAACACACCACCTGTTTATTTATTTATTTTTTTTATCCTCACCCGAGGACATTTTTTTATTTTTTGTTCAAATAGAGCGGGAGGAAGAGAGAGAGAGAGAAACATCGACGTGAAAGGGACACATCGAGTGGCTGCCACCCGCACGACCCAACCAGGGCCGGGGACAAACTGCAACTGAGGTACATGCCCTTAGCGGGAACCGAACCCGGGTCTCTCCGGACCGAAGGCCGACGCTCTAACTGCTGAGCCAAACCGGCCAGGGCTAGTTTTTAAAAACTCTAACCAGGCTGGCTGTCTTCACTGTTAAAATTCTCTGGAAAAATCAATATTTACCACTGATCTTGTGCTATAAGAATATGACTTGGGCCCTGCCTGGTGTGGCTCAATTGGTTGAGCATCGTCCCATATACCAAAGGGTTGTGAGTTCGATTTCCAGTCAGGGCACATGCCCAGGTTGTGGGCTCAATCCCCAGTAGGGGGCATGCAGGAGGCAGAGGATTGATGTTTCTCTCTCTCCCTCTCCCTTCATCTCTCTCTCAAATCAATAAAAACATATTTTAGAAAATATGGCTTGGGACAATAAAAAAAAAGCCATAATTAAATAAACTTCATGCTAATATAACTAGCAGAAATAAAGAAAGAGATGTCTCTCAATCCTCTAAGAGATGCCCTAGGTATTACTTCATCTCACAGGCTTAGTTACAATCAAGTATGAACGTGTACTAAGACTAGTTATAAAAATGCTTTGCTCGTATCATGGCAACCACGACTCGCGTCCGCCTGGGCATCCCTCCACTGTGTCCACACGCACCTTGGTTCATCAGAACGAGGCTTCCTGTGAGCAGAGCCATGCAGTTGGTGGGCTGATGATTGTGCAGATACTGAAACCCCCATCCCCTCCTGTATGAGGTTTCGTACATATATCCTGAGGCATTGGCGATCACTTCAAGAAACTTCTCCTGCTGTGTCTTGCTCAGGTAGTTGTACAAGAAGTCATAGGCAGTGGCAAAACCCACCAGGGAGTGAGCAAGTGGGACTTCATCCCAGGGAGCATCTTTCACCAACCTGTAAAGGAGAACAAGCCAGGCAAATGAGTGCGACCAGGCTCACAGTTTGCCTCCCACTTTTAAGTGTCTATTACTCAGAACCGAAGGGCACAGCTGAAGATGGAATCCAAGAGATTCAATGACACAGAAGCAACTTCCCTCTGCATTAGACACAAGCATCAAGTGTATCTAACGTGAAAATGACAGAGTTAGCACTTTTCTCTCTCAGACTTCCAGTAACTTCAACATGCTGAGAATGCTTTCTTTTGATTCTTTTCCTCTTGATGAGAGGCGGTAGAATAGATCCAAAGAGATGTGAAGCACATGACATCAGTAGCAAGGCATACCCATTTTTAACTAATGCTCCCCTCCCTTTTCTACTTGCATAAGAGGTCCTGGTTGTGGAACTGCCTTGCTGAAGCAGTCGAACATGTACATCCCTTCTCACTTCCCACAGATGGCCAACGTGAAGGCAGGTGGCCTAGAGTTATGGCCTCTCAACTGGGACACACTCACTTGGTCAACCCCACAATGGGGAGAATGGCCAAAAAGCTGATGCAAATAAGTGAAATGAACTGATTCTAATTCTACATCTCATTCTCCTCATATGATGAACTGCAATGCCTTTAAGGTCCTTTGAGTAACTTTCAGAGAAGTCTAAAAGCTGATCTGTGAAGTATTAAACTGTCATTTTTCCACGAAGCCACATTTCTGCTTGACTTGCTATACTATTCAGCAAGAATTTTAAGTGTCAAACAGGAAGCTAAAAGGGATTTTTCATAACCACAATTCTGGGGAATTATCCACAAAGCCCTCCCCATCTGTTCAGGATGGATTTGATTAATCTCTACGGGGCGGAAACAAAGGAAGAGGGCGCCGTTCTCTTGGGGGGTGGACGGAAGCTCTCTGTTAGGAATTAAACTGAACATCAACATTTCTCCACGATGAGCCTCCTTTGGCAATTTAGTGAGGTGTTAGCCTCTTTCTCGGTATATTTTAAAATTCATAAGCTAAAATACACAAGGATATAAGGAACTCTCTTACTTTGAAATGTAATTATTAAAACATATTTTTAAAAATTGTGGTATGTGTTTCTTTATTCAATCATAAGATTTAACAGCAGGGATAGTAACTACCATAGTGTGTGAGTAGTGATGAGCACAAACAGTATTTTGAGATGCCTATGATAACTGTAATGTGGTATGAAAATATCTGTGTTTTCTATCTGTGACACAGTTACAGGTTCTCCCAAGAGCACTATAGCTGGTTATCTATATCCATAATCTGTAAGAAATGATCAATTTCAGTTACGGTTAGTAAAAATTAAGATGCAATATTTCCCCCATATTAACACCATAGGCCCCAAGTTAAGAACACTTAAAAATGTCTGAGAGATTACTTCTTCTAGGAGTAATCCTGTGTTCTTCCTTTAGGAGCTTATATTAAAGAACTGATGTTAGTGAGGCCTTCGCTGGTCACCCTGTCAGAATTTCAACATCACTCCCCAAACAACAATCTCTCATTTCCCTTCCTCACTTTTTGGACCTCCTAGCATATACATATATGTATGAGATACTGTATGCATATGTAGCCCTTATTGGAATTTAAGTTCTGCAACAGCAGGGTTATCTTCCCTGCTCTGTTGTATCCACTATTGGATCCCCAATCCTACAACAGTGTCTGGCAAATAGTAGACTCTCAATAAACATTTTTATTAAAAGAAAAAATGAACAACCTAATAAAACTAGGCCACACTGTTGACAATGAATATGCAATCATTATGAAATCAGGAATTTGGAGAAATCCCTTGGTATTTCGGAATAATATCACTGGTTGGCTGTGCTGGTGATACAGAATGGTGCTAAAGTGACTCAGGTTGATGGGTTTCTTAACCATTTGGTCACAGAAAAAGCCGCCTGGCCAGTTCAGCTTGCCAATGTGCGTACTGGTTGTAAACAGACTGTGAAGAGTGTGAATTAATTCCCCAGTTTGAGGGGAAAATAAAATTCATACTGCAAGCTCACTGCCAGGGAGTTAGGAACACAGTCTCCACTGACTCATGGTGATGGGTGAGCCAGGCGGAGAATCCAAGTCAGCCGTTCTCAGCTCTGTGTCTTCATACCATGTCATGCCGCCTCTATAAATGACTTCATATACACCTAGCCGCAGCAAAGCTGGTGTCAAAGAACTGTCACTATCTACCAAACCCTGACACGTCTGATTAACTGATGAACTTATTTTTAAAGATAAAAGGACATTTAATAAACTTCTCATTCTTCAGGAAATATTATTATGCAATTGCTGTGAAAATATCTAACCTCTCACATACAGTTACTTATTCCAAGCAGTTTTCAATTCAATAAAATACTAGCACACATATAAAAATAGTTCATGGTACCATTGGGTTCATCACTACTAGATCATTATGAAATCTGGCCTGTAATAGCTACATATCTAGAAAGTCATATATATCCTTTACCAGTAAAATCTTACCCAGCCTCAGATACAAAGTACAACAATGGTAGGAAGAGAGCATATTTTACTGTTATGGAAACCAAAGGAAATTTCCTTCTAGTTCATGGCAGCAAAGAAACTATCTTACATGATGTGATTCTGACCAGTGGTTAATTTATTGAAAAGGCTGGTTAAATGGGGAATCATAAAAATATATGACAACTATTAATTTATGAATTTTATTTTGACTTAAAATACAGACATGTACACACATTCACCAATAATTTGAAGGTATACTAATTGCCTTTCTTTAAATATGGGTCTACAGAATGGAGTTTCATAGTTCTTTTCTGCAGATAACACATCATCACAATTTCTAGCTTTGTTTTCTCTATAACATAGGAAGAAATTAAAGATACTTATGAAAGATTATAGAATTCTTCCAGATTTTTGTTTTCCCCTAAATTTTTACATTTCATCCACACTAAACTATATGACAGCAATATTTTGCACTAAGTCATTACAAAGCACTGAAGTTGGTTGTAAAAACATTAGTTCTTTTTATTTTAAAACTCACACTTAAAAAGGCTTACATAATAGTATTAAAATTGTGTCATTACAGGTATTAGTGAAACTGGCATCAACTGGTCTGAGAACAAATACAGTTGATATTTGCTAAGCACATAACTCTACTGGGGGGAACAGAAATGAATGGACATAGCAGAAAACGGCCCACCAGGCTTGACGCCTCCAGCACTCCGTGAGAGTTGCTAGGTTACGTGAGGAATGGAGGTTAACTTCAAAAGCGAGTCAGTTAAGAGGAGGTTAGCTAGGAAAACTTTCACTATATTCCTCTTTTTATAAGCTATAGTTTCTTCCCTTAGAGAGGTGTTCTTAAAGTAAGGTCCATGGACCCCTAGGGTCTCCAAGACTCTTTTAGGGGAGCCCCAAGTAAAAGTATTTTTCATAATAATATAAAGATGTTATATGTTGATATTTGCAGTGATGGTACAAAAGCACTAATGGCTAAAAATGCTGACATTTTAGCAGGAATCCAGGCAGGGGAACCAGACTGCTCCAGTAATCCTTGTGTGATTCTTTACTGCTGCCATGCACTCTAAGTTAAAGAAAGAAAGAAAGAAAAAAAAGCCAGTTTCACTAAGAATATCCTTGATGAAGTGGTAAAATTATTAATTTTATAAAATCTCAACTCTCCAAGTATATATATATTTTCAATATTCTGTATGATGAAATGGGAAATATGTAAAAAGCATAATGGACACCAAAGTGCAATGACTATCACAAGGAAAAGAACTTGTACATTGAGTTAAGAGCTGAACTAGCTGCTTTTTTTCATGAAACATCATTTTTACGTGAGGAAATGACCAAGTGACAAATTATGGTTATCTAGACTTGGGTATTTAAGTGAACATTTTTTTTTTTTAAATGAACAAGGAAGCTTTCCAGGTCAAGGAAAACTGAACGTCTTGGTTGCCAATGACAAAATTTGAGCTTTCAAGTGAAGATAAGAATTTTGGAAAACAGATCTGCTACCATGAGCTTAAGAGCTTACCAATATATTATACAGTTATCTAAATAATTCATGGGTCAAAAAAGAAATCATAAGCAAAATTACGAATTATTGCAAATGATAATGAGCATAAAATGTCTGAATTTGTGGGATATAGCCAATGCAGTCCTCAGAGGAAATATTATGGCACTGAAAGTCTTAAAACAGAAAATAAAAGGTATAAAACTAATCGTCTCAGATTCCACCTTAAAAAGCTAAGACAGGAAAAGCAAATTAAAGCCAGTGTTAATTGTAGAAAACAAATAATACAGATAAGACAAAAATATATAAAATACAAAACAGACAAGTGATAAGAGAAAATCAACAAAGGCAAATAATGAAATACAAATAATGACTGAATCCAGGAACCAAGTATATAAGCAAATATCAACTACATAGTCTTTAATCTCTGCAAATCTGAAAATTTTCAAACTAAAAAGTTCAGAAAAAAATAGAAATTTATAAATGTTGGCTCTGACAGCAACTGATCAGTTATAATAACTCTGTGTATTTTTAAATATATTTATGTTCTAAAATTCAATATAAATGTTATAACATGCAACATTAAAAACATAATCTCTATTTCAAACATAACATGATACATAAAGGGGAAGTAAGTACTCTAGGACCAAGAGTAAAGATCTAAAGATTTGACATCAAGGGTTTCCCAAAGAAAAGGCTTAGACAAATTGTTATCAACCTTATTGTGCACTGAACCCCCAACCCCCCAACCCTCACCCCACCCCCGCCTCACTGTACACAGAGTGGGCAATCAGCTGTTTAGAGCCTGTGGAAGGCAGAGTAATAGTCCCCTCAAAGACATGTATATCCTAACTCCCGGAATCTATGAATACATTGCCTTTCATGGCAAAAGGGACTTTGCAGAGGTGATTAAGGACCTAGGGGTGGGGATTGTCCTAGATTATCTGGGTACCCAATCTAATCACATGAGTCCTTAACAGCAAAGAATCTTTCCTGGTTGTGGTCAGATGAAA